GAGAGAGAGAGAGAGAGAGAGAGAGAGAGAGAGAGAGAGAGATGCAGCCTCAGCCATGGGCAATAGGCTTCCTCAGCTTCCCTTGTCTAAGAACTGTTTCCAAGCCTGGCTTGTAGTTACCAAGTTGTCTCTTCCATGAACTGATAGATACTGGGACTGGCATCACTTCTTATACTGAACCAAACTGTCAAAAAAAAATCTTTATAGAGATCTCCATTAGCAAAGCACATACGTATATCCTGCCAGCGACTTTCTGATAGTACTAGCTATCCCGCGATCGTGTAAAGACTGGTGTATATTCATTATTTTGAGTGTTATGTTACCACCGCTTGATTTCCGACTTGTGAGCCCCATAACACTTTGAATAATGATAGCCAGCTACTAAAGGTACAGTGTAGCCTCCAGCCATCACATCTAGGTGGTGATTCTGTAATGTTTAGGATATGATTACTCATATGGAAAATTAGTTTTATCATCAAGAGACTGTCCTATTTAATGACAGCATTACTAAAAGTCTTTGAGGGATAAACAAATTGACCATGAAACACAAACATTTGTTGTTGAGATCAATGGCAGAAGCCTCTCTGGTTCCATTTAGAAGAGTTTGATGCCTGTCTTCAAAGGACTCGGCAGCACTAGCACAATACACACTTTGAAGCGGGGTGCTTTGTCATCCCCTGCCTTAGGCCTGCCTGCTTCTGGCATAGATTAGCAAAGCTTGTCTTTTTTTTCCTTTCTTTCTTTCTTTCTTTTTTTCATTCTTTCACAATGGAAGAGTTTTGCCTTAATGACCATTTCTATCCCACGAGAACAGAGCTTTACACACAGCTTAGCCTTGATACTCCATGTTAAGACAACTTCATTAATGAAAGGCGGATTCTGTGGGAGCCTTTGTTGCCACATTATGGTATTTGTGTCAGAACATTGTGTGCCCCACATCACAATGATGCAGGCAGACCAGCATCATGACAGGAAGAAATACAGCAGCAAATTAGCTCTGGCCAGGCATGACTTTTCTGCTCCTTCCTGACAGAAACTGAACAGTAACTAGCACTTCCTCTGACTTCTTCCTGAGGGGACCAAAAAAGAGGGTTCTTCATCATGTGTGTTCAGTCAGTAGGCCTAATATTTCCCCAATCGCCTCTAGATCTTAGCTGCCATACCTTCTATAAGAAAAATATTTCTCTGGTGTGTACTTGATGAGTCTAAACTCTCTGGAACACAAGCTTTTATGAAATTAGACATCATCGAGTGAGGCAATTGTACATTTCCAAACAGTCTTGAGACTGCTCAGTGGTACTTGGCTTGTGGGTAAACAATTCACTTTTCCTATTCTTCTTACTGTAGTCACTAATTGCATGACAATTAAGAAAGGGGCGAGAGGGCGTCATAGAGACTCTGGAACTAACCCTTTCTTTTCACAGGCAAAGAGAACACTCAGAGCTGCAGCCATGCAGAAATAGCAGAGTTCTTTCAACTGGAGAAGGGATATAGGCACTATTCTATCCCAAGCTGACAGTGCCTCCTAACACAATTGTTTTCTGACAAAAGCCTAAACCACAATGGACACGGGTTTGGGTGTAAAATGATGGCACATTCTCTCTCCCCAAATGTGTGTATTTGCTAATTACCAATATTTCCTTTTGAACTTCAGTGTTTTTCTCTAGATTGGGATAGTATCTATGTAAAATTCACGATCCTAACTCATTTATAAGTCATTGGCATTTTGAATTTGTTTTGTGATTTCCTAGGCCATGGGCTGGGGGGTAGTGTTGAACTGTGACTTCCACACAATGATGGACTTTACCCTAGAATTGTAAGCTGAAATAAACACATTTCTATGCTGCTTTTTGTCAGGTTTTTTTTTTTTTTATCACAGCAACAGAAATTAAATTAAACTAGGACCAAAATGAGGTAAGAAACACACCCAGGAGGGATAACAAACCAGATGGAAACTATAGAAAGAAAGATTAAATTATTAACTAAGTCTTTGGTTTACAATTGGCCACAACTTGCTTTTGTTAGTTCTGGTACTAGAATAAAGTTTGCTTTTTTTACATGCATATTGTTCTCTGGCTTTAAGCGCTCTAGACCAAAAAGGAAAGGAAAGAAAACAGAAAAAAAGAGTGGGAAGAATGCTAAAGAGTATCTACTTTATAATTGATTGACACTACTGTTGGAGAAGAAAATAATAATAAAATAAGTACAAGCTAAATATTGTAGCCTAGTGTTAGCTTCTGCAATGGCAATATAGATAGCTACTCCTCTACTTGACTTCTCTCAGTCAATAGTTTGCACTCCATCCCATTATCAGCCCATTTCTCATCTCTGGAAAATTACAGTAGAAACAAAATCACCACCTAGCAAATGTGTAGTGAAATGTATGACAGTTGATCTTGAAAAACAAGTAGACAAATAACAAAAATAAAAAATACATCCCAAACAGGTCTTTTTATTTAACATAAGGCCAAAGAAGCTATCAGGCATTGCTGAATACTGCCTACTAACTGTACAAAATATTGACTGCATGCCTCGCAAACACCAGAATATCCGCTGGAATGGAATAGAAATAAATAACTTCTGCTATAAACACATGAAAACATATCCAACTGTTATCTCTTTAAACATATTGTAAATAAAAAATTACCAGTACTTCTACAAAATAAATATTAAGAAACCATTGACATAGTTGAAATGCACTCATATAAATTAACAACTTTAATTACATTAGCCAAACAGACATTGGTTAAAGAATTGCATATAGTATGCAAAAGAACTCACAAAATAAAAATAAAAACAAACAAACATCAACCACGTAACATAAAAAGTTTTAGAACAAAACAGGTTTCAGATTATCTTGGCTTAATAATTATATTTTTCTTTTAAAGAAAAATATCAACCCATTGTCAATGCACTGTTTTTCAAAGCATTTAAATAGAGGGTAAAACCCACTGAAAATTAATACAGAAGAAATGATTCACTTTATGCATAAAAATAAATAATAATATAGCTGAGACATGTGATTCTGCTCTTGAAGATGTGAACAGCATCTTAGCATTCATTATCTCTGAGCCTTCCAATAACTTCTCCGTGTTACAGGGTTTAATTGAAACACATACAGCGTTCATCCCCAAATCTCCTGCCCACATCTACAAGTTTCACTTATGTGGGCTTTGGGGGTGATTGAGCTTTTCTCTACATTGGAAAGAGAAATTGCCAAAAGGCCCACAGGAAATCATATTTTTCAAGTGACCACAATCATTTAAATTTATGTTTACTACAACTGAGGCATGTTTATTTATTTTTTTTTTTTAAGTCACCTCTTGAGTTCAGTCCCGCAAATGTGAAACAATTTTGCTTATTCTGCCATTTAGGAAAATGCAAGGCCTCCTTGACAAAGGAGTGTGGAATCAATCTTAAATGAAGATGAAATTGGCTGGTCTTGTAGGATAAGAAAATCTCAGTCATTGTGCAGGAATTTGCCTTACTTTTAGTGGGGGGAATGTCAATTAAGCTCACAAAGTATTTAATTTTTAAAGAGATACTGAGCACAGATGCTCTTCATAACTTCTGGAATTCATGTGGGCAGGTACTTAACAATTATCCTAGAGAAACTGAGGAGACTAGAAAGAGCCACTCTGATGCTAGGTAAAGTACACCACGCAGAAACTAAAATGCTAGACAGTAAAAGCTTTTTGATTTTGGACTGAGTAGCCATTTGAAAGGACCAGTTGTTCACAAGACTTTGTGTTTTCTGAGAGTGCTAACTATAGCAAAATAATATCTAATATGCTTAAAGATGTTAACAATTTAAATTCTATTGCAAGGCCATACAAATTTGATGAGCTCAGATGTAGTTTATTGGTATGTGACAACCAAGTCACTTGATCCCCAATTAATACACTGTCCTGTGGAATTCATTTTTTTCTAGATTTAATTACTATGGTTACTAATTAAACACGAGCTTACCCCCAGTACATCTAGAATTTAAAGGGCTTTGAAAGATTACACATTCATCTCAGATGAACAAGAACTATAATTAGTAGTTTCATAAATCCTGCTCTTCCCATGGTCTAGATAGTTTCTGATATGGCACAGTAGACCTCTCCACACTATTTCTATAGGTCCCAGTATTAGCTCCAGTACCAAGGAAACAGTTCAGAGGGCTCTAAAGTTTTTCATAAAAATTGGCAAAGTTGAACCTGGCCATCTACTTCCCCTCAATTTTCCACACCATGCCATCTGTCCCCACATGCAAGATCTCCAAGGTCAATGGACCTTAACTATAATTCATTTCTTATGCAGTACATGCATTTCCTGCATAAGACAGGGAGGGCCCCTGGAACACAGTGAGTATGTTTGCCCAGTAACAAGACTAAAGTAGATTGCCTACATACAGCCTAATATGATAATGTATATTGACTTAGTATATATAATATATATTGACTTAGGGTTTTTTTTAGAGTTAAACCAGCTTTTGTAAGATTTAATTTCTCACTTTTATTTCATTTTCCTACAATGACTTTAATCTATGGACTGAATTAATGCTAAAAGTTTTAATATTTTATAAAATACTGAGGAATATAGTTTTTCTCAATTAGAGTTTTTCATTTTTATAAAGTTTTCAAACTTCAAACAAGTCCGTAAAAATAAGGCTCTGTATTTTAAATACATAAATGAATAATTTATTAGCTGTTTTAGACAAGCAAAACACTGGACTAAATTAGAAACTTGGGTTTAAGCATGTATTTGATATTTATAAGACAATCTTTTCAGTTTTGCCTCTGAAAAATACAAACTTACACATCAAGATTTTTGGCTGTAAAATAAAATATTAGAGATTTGAACAACTACCCTACTCCCTGGCTCCTAAGTACTGTCTCCCTTAACTTCCACTGTCTTAAATACTTTCCTGCTTGTTTTATTATTTAAGTAGTAACAACACTATTCAAAAAAAAAAAAAAGAACTTTTATTCTAGCCTAGAGATATTTTTTCCGAAAAAGTTTCTGATTTAAGATTGATTCCAATAAATAATAAATATAAGTCGAAAAAAACTCAGCCCACTGTTTTTATTAACATCCCATTTTCCCCACAGGGGATAACTTGTAGGGAGCAGGGGTGAGAAAGAGGGGATTTTTTTCTTGTACATTTAAAGAGGGCCTCGCTGGATACTCACTGGGATTTTCAGGCTTTTTCCCATCCAAATATTTGAAATGTACCCACCTAATACAGAGTAAAAGCAAGAAAAATCTATCACTTATCCTTCTTAAAAATACTGTGTTTTGCACACAAACATTCATTGTTTTAAGAACATTTAAAAAATGACAGCCTGAAGTGCTTAAAATGTGTATGGACATGGTACAATACATGTATATATACACACAGGTATGCGTATGCACAAGCAATGTATATATACACATACAAGCATGTAGTCTCATGAATTTGAACTTGATAATCCAACAGTGTACACTACTGTACATCCAGTATGAAATGTCCTGTTTCATGGATGTAAAAAGAGTCAAAACCCAACCTCTCAGGTCTCTTAAGCCTGAACCCAACCCACCTAACTCGACCTTAAATCTTGACCCCTGACTCATTGATGGTGAACAATACCAACCACAGACAGACTGTTTAAAGGCTCACACAAATGTCTTTGGTGTATGTGTCTATTTTTAAGGTACAAAATAATAATAATAATTATAATTATAATAATAAAAATAGCTATTTTGTGTGCTGTAGCAGTTCTTTTATAGCTCACATGAAGTGCAGCTCTTAAACCCCACCCCCACCCCCACCCAAAGAAAATACTTGTTAAATAAGGATTAGACAGGTCAAACACCATTGTAGTGCAAATAGTAAACGATAAAAAAACAACATTTACAAAATATAGAAATGTTTGAATCCAACAGATGGACAAACATATTCCTTTCAAGTATCTCTCCTTGAAGAAAATAAAAATTAATCAGGTTACTCCCAATACAAAAAAGTCTCTCTTTTTGTCCTCTTTCAGGTAAACAGTTTCAAACCTATTAGGTTGCATAGTTCTAAGATCATAAGCACCTTAACGAAATGTAACTTGGTATTCTTTTTTCCTTGATCTTTCACTCTTTCCATTCCTGTTCTCAATGTTTTATGTTGATTTTTGTCTTGTGGCAAAAGTGGTACAGAAAAGAAAATGTGACCACCTGCACAGAATTATTCTTTTACCAGTATGTGTATGCATGTGGTGTGTGGAAATACCTCTGTGTGTCGTGTATGCATGCATGCATGCATGCGTGCGTGCGTGCGTGCGTGTGTGTGTGTGTGTGTGTGTGTGTGTGTTTGCATGTGCGTGTGTGTGCATGTGTGTGTGTGTGTGTGTGTGCACGCTGAAATACACAGAGATAGTGTCACATAGACATACTTATGACCTGGGTATCTGGGTGGGACTGGCCCTTTAAAACTCATGGCTTTCTAGACATTATTTGGGTTGTGCTAGCCCACATTACTGCAGAATAGACAAGTAGACTTCCAGGCTCACAAGGGAACCGCAAGAGGCAGGAGAGAGGACAATACCCAGTTTGGATAAAACTGATCCCATCAGTTTGGTTTTGGAAGAAATGAAGGGTACACCATTCTCCCTTTTCCTCCCAATCCCTGTTTCCTTCACTGCTTCATCTCTGAGCCCTGGCTTAGGATATTTTTCCGCAACATCCTTCATCTGTTTCATAAGGTTTTGTTTTCAGTCTAGTTTTTGTTGGGTTTTTTTTTTATTTCTATTTTTCTGGTTGTTTTGTTTAATTCAGGTATCTTATATTTTTCTTCATTTTGCCACTGTCTTCTCTGGACTTTCTAGATCCATTTCCTCTGGGACCTGGCAACTCTAGGAGCAGCCACATTCCTCCACAATCATGTTCTGAATGTCCTTTTTGATGATGTTTTGACCATCATCATAATATAGCATGGACATGGGTCTCAGCTTGGTGGGCACACAACATGACTTAAGGTTGGCAAAGGGGCTATGACCCCTCATGCGGTAGTGGTTGATGACTGTTGAGTGAAAAGAGAGGGAGGACCCAGAGGTGCCTGCTATGTGGCTTGGGCACTCACCCTCACAATAGTTGGCATGATAGCCAGAGGGAGCAATGATCCAGTCATTCCAGCCAATGTCCTTGAAGCTGACAAAGAATTGTTTCTTACAGCAGATGTTGACCTTGCCATCACACTCCAAGCCCCGCCTACGCCTGCGATGAGGATGGTCTTCGGACTGCCTAGCCTGCAGCATGAGGAAAGGTCTATGTGATTGTTCCTTTTCCTCTTCCACTGCTCCATCACTTCCATCTTTCTTCTTCCCATCTCCATCCACTTCTTTCTTCTTCTTCTTGCCCAGGAGCACTAGGCTGGCACCACTCTCCTGGCACTGCTCACAAGCAATCCGCACATCAAGGGAACTCTTTCCCTGGTCCAGCAGGCGCTGGATGCTGCTAGACACTGGGAAGATGTGCCAGGTACTCTTCCGAGCGTCAACCACTTTCTCTGATAGCAACAGTTCACTCCTCTCCCCCTTTAAGCCCATTTCCTCAGCCTCATCCCCCATGTCCAAGCTGCCCTGTGGGTGCTTCTGCTGCTGAAACAGACGAATGGTGACTTTGGTCCTGGTTCTGTTGGCCTTGGGGACTTTCAGAAAGAGCCAGACTTCTGCACGCTCCACTACTGACAGGTCACTGCCTTCCTTGGAAATCTCGAAATGCAGTGTCTTCCTGGCTGTACCTGAAGATAAAACAAAATGAGAGAGAAAAAAAAGAACGCATGTTAACTGAAAATTGTACATCTATCAGTAACTTCAGGCAGTAAGAATCTTGTTATCCACTATGACACACAATGCTCAGTCAGCAATTTAGAGCCCATACATGAGATAAACCTGTTTCCATGTGGCCACTGAGTTGAAAGTGGTTTTACAGCTTTGAAATGATTGAAGAAAAATAGTAATTTTTTACATGTGAAACTTACCTGAAAGGTAAACTTTAGTGCCTGTAAAAGCAGTTTTATTAGAACACAGATCTGTGTGTTTCTTTATATGTTGCCTGTGACCATGCTTTACTTACGCAGAATTGAGTAGTTATGGGAAACACTAACAGAGACAAGTATGTAGGCCTTGCTCTGTGATGAAGGAAACCTGAACTTCTGCATCTATTTCATTCTCTCATGAATTTTAGTTTAATCTATGAAATGGGAATGATGTAGAGACGTTTGGCAGATGATTTCACAGGCTTGACAGGATCTAACGGAGTCACATAAATGAAAAACCCTGGAAGCCTTAGTAAGTTGTGGAACTATTTTCCCACAAAAATCCAAAAACCCTGTCCCTAGCATCTATGTGTGGGTCAGTGTGGGCCAGGTTCTCTGAGACAGTATTTTTTTTCTGTCACTCCCTGACCTAATCTGTCTGTCAACGTGTGCTGGGTTACAGCAGCAGGGTTTTCACTAAATGCCCCCCCCCCGAAGCTGAGTCAGGCCTCTCTCAAGTCATTTCTCCACTAAGCAGTTAAAGAAATCTTCCCTAAAAGTGGGTCTGCTCACAGCTGTCCCTCCGGTTGTGACTTTTTGTTTTCAGTGTCTAACAAACCCCCCATGACTTTGGACTATGCACCTCATGTAAGTCCATGTCCCTATGGTCCAGCTCTTTAACCCCTTGTGAACTCTGTACTCAACCCACCTGTGGCAGTGACACTGGCTGTTCCTGTGTCACCCCAGGTCAACCAAAACAATGCTTCTGCTAATTCAACTGGACGCCACTTTGCACTGCCTCCCTTCTCCTCAGTTACTACCCCCCTCACGCCAATTTCGTTTAGGAAACCAGCTTAGGTCATATCTATCTTATTCACTGCCATGCTGTACTATGCAGCAAAGGGTGGGTAATTACTAGATTACTAATTAACAAATGGGGGCATATTAGCATTGAGTTGCCTTAAATTAAGAAAGCAATTCCTATCTCTGAATCCCTTATTTTTGCCTCTGTTCATTTAGAATACACCAAATAAATACCAAAGATATACTTGACTTTCTATTTGCCTTTAAAAAAGGAGAAATCCCAGAAACCACTCAGATCTACCTAGATGTAGAGCCAGAACCTTGCTCCTTCCTTCTCTTCTCACAGACACTTGTAGATTTATTATGCAGTCTCATTTATGATAAGAAACACGTGTCCAGACTAGAATTCTTTGATTGAGTATATATTTCCCTTCGCTTCCACGTTACCATCGGGAGGCATATAAAAGCATGCTCTCTTTTACCTGATCATGTCCCTACTCATAGCTGTCTGCTGAACACGTATCACATGTACAATCTGGGAACAATCTTCAAGAGGTTCATCTATGACATCACAGTTCCCTAGGAGGATCTCCCTAACTAGCTTCCATACTTAACAGAAATCCAGCTCTACTCGTCAGTAGAGACCTTCAGATGTTTATGGTACCGTAAATTTCAGCACAGTCTCAAGTGCGCTGCAGCAGAAGGCAAGCTTTTCTGTGCATAGTACACTGTAGATTCCAAACTCAATCTAACACACTGTACACTGTGACTACAATAACTGGTAAGTTCACAAAGGCAAGGGCCAGGGAGCACTGACTAAGGCATGGAGAGACCTCTGGCATCTGCCTAGAAGTTTGCCAGGAAGATGGGGTAGCAGAGGCATTCCTCTGAGTGACTTCACATTTCAGTTAGGAGTCAAAATAAATAATTAATTTAGATTTTGATTCCATAGTATATAAGAGCACGGAACAGTGAGAAAGGAAGACATGGTGACAGTTTTTCAAGTGAATTCTGCTTCACCCTTTGCTCAGTGAGTTTGTTGCTGATTATTTTTATAAGAAAGTAAAGGCTCTAGGAAGCAAAATCTAAGATGGAAATTGCAGAACATCATGAGGTTGTTAGGGCACATGAGGGTAGAGAGGCCCAGAAAGGTTGGGGTAAAGGAAGAATAGGGTACAGGGGGCCTGGGAAAGAACATGCTCTTCCACTGAAGGGGCACGACTGCTATTCCTTTGGAAAATATTAACTACCTACCTGTCGTTTTCCTTCCTGCCTCCAAGCAGAACACTTTCTGAAATTCTGAGCTGTGCAGGGTGTCAGTTCACAGAGAGAGAGAATAAACGTAGCAGCTAAATTTGAGAAGTTAGAAGAGTCTGCCTTCTTTCTCTAGGAAACAGCTCCTGACTGGCAAAGGTTCACTAGGTCTCAAGTAAGGCAACCTTCTCCCCAACTCTGTTCTGTCCCCATCCACGCTTGGCGTGGGTGTGAGGGTAAAGAGGCTGACAGCAGTGCGGACCTGCTCAACCTAGGTTTCCCATAAACAGTCCTGGGCTGATTGCAGGTGCTGGGGAAGGGGGCAGGAGAGGCTTACTTGGCATGCTAGAATAAGTGACTGTGCATACGAATTGCTTTCTATCATGGCCAGCAAGGCTGAGGCCATGTGCTCCCAGTCACACAGCCTGCAGGATGGCCCCTTATTTCATGGGAACAAGTTTCTAATGCCTGGGGTAGCTCCGCCCCTTCTTCACAGGCGGCTGTACTTGGAAGCAAATGATTTAGTGTTCCTGCAGGAGGATCGTACAAAGAGAGTGCTCATTAGAGGGGGCTCAGTCTGTCAGGTGCTGTTACATTAGGCTCAGAGAGTCATCATCCAGCGACTCTCAGGCTGGTCTTGGCTGACAATTAACTGCAAGCCACTGCCTGTGTGTCACCGGGAGGCAAGGGTGCTGATTTATGCCGCAGTTTAATTACCCAGCCGAAAACCTCTGCTCCTGTATTTGTTTCCTCTCCAGCTTGCTTCATCTCTCCCCCATATTTCTGACATTTGGATTTTCCCCTACTAATTGACATGCCTGTCCCCTCCTTCTCCTGGTGTCCATTTCTGGAACTGCTATTTGTGTATTGCATGATATTTTATCAGGGAAAAAATAAAACTGAGGTCCAATTTCATGAAAATGCTGTTGCCGTATGCCCAGGAGGACGGGGGAGGAGAGAGTCAAGCCTTCCTCCGTCTACCTCACGCGCAGGTACATTTTACAAGTTCTATTGTATTCTGACTTGTTAAGCAGTGCATTTTTTTTTTTTTACCTTAGCTTTCATTGTAGAAGGGTGTGGGGAGAGCGAGATGGATGGAAGCTGAAGTGGATTGACTGTTTATCAGACCTGTTGGTTTCAGAAATATATTACAGCTCTCAGGTTAGTTACATAAGGATGAAAAAATATAATTAGCAAATGTTATACTCCCTTTATTTCTATTACATGAGAGAAATTGCTATATTGCAGAGACGCTTCCAGGAGGCCCCAAGCTGAACATGTAATGATTTGGAAAAGGAAAGAAAGATATCTAAGGCTGAGGTGTTTAGGATCAACTTCCCATCCATATCAGGCCTGACTTACATATCTGGTGCTGTAAAATCCTGAAATAAATGCCTTCCCATAATGCTGCGTAAGCAAGTATGGCAGTCCTGTGTCCAGGTGTGTGACGGGTTCTTCCACCAGGCCGCAGCTCCTCAGTTAAAGCCGCTGGCTCTCTAACCTTTCATTAACTACTCCCTGTAACGTTCTTTTCCTCCTCTGTGCTATTTTCTGTCCTGAGGCTTGTGAGCAAGGCTTGTATCACAGCCTGCTCTGTCTGAGTAATTCACTAAGAAAGTCCCACGCAAACCCATGTGGGTGATAATACCTCATCACTTAAGCCCCTGTGAGCTTGGTGGACACACAGCAAAGCAGAAGAAAATGGGCAGAACATTCCGTAGGGATACATTTTGTACCTTATAGGGAATACCTTTGAAATGCTGCCTGGGGGAAGGGCGGGACAGAAAGAAAGTCTACGTCAGCCTAAAGGAAGAGTGTTTGTAGCAATTCTCTTTTGCTTTCAGGATTTTTCACTAGCTTGGTCACAGAGGTATGCCAGGGCTTAAGGAAGCAGGCTCTTTGTTCCCTTCCCCAACATTAGCGTGTAAATGCCACATACACAAAAGTCCAGGTATCAGATTTGTGAGTATAAGACCATTTTCATTAAATAATCAATATACACACAGGTTTCAGCTGACTTTAGCCCAGTTTTCCTCACCAGCATCCTGGGCAAATATGCTGCCCTTTTACAAATGGGTAATAATGACATCTCTGTTAATATGGAAAGCCATGCTATTCATGGTGCACATTTAAACTCACCGTGAGGGGAGCACAGCTCTGCTGTAAAATATGTGTTACTCTAATTTTCCATTCTTCGTCAAGTTTCCCTGTGCCTAGATACAGCATAGTCAATAGCATAAAGGGCCAGCATTACAGCCTGTGTGTTCTCTAAGGCACTAAGTCGGCCTCTGGATGGCTTCCAGGGGTTTCTGCAGAAGGCAGAGAGTGAGGTCTGAAAGGTTATCCCCCCCCCATCCTACAATAGAGAATCTCGCTTACAGCAGGCATATTAGCTTGCTTCTATGAATTATCCTGTCTAAATTTTTGGCTTTAATACCTCTCATTTGGGATCCATTTTTTGAATTATTGTAAATCTTCGGGCCTGAGTAACTTATCATCCATTTAAATAATGATTTACAAAAAAAGGATTAAACCTTTGAAAAAAGAGGAATCTCACTTCATAATATACATAGAAAAATAAAAATTCTCAAGATTCAACCCAGAAAGTTTTCCCAGAGTTCCTCAAAACTTTTCCACTTTTAATTTTGGACCTAGGAACCAGTCAAGCATGGAGACTTCTGAAAGAAAGTGAAGAAATCATGCTCAAGTTTGATAGAGCAGAAGGGCCAAGGCAAATAAGTATTTTCATGAAAAGTGGGAAGGTACTCCTTCTCTCCATGTGAAAACTGCATCTCTCCCCTGCCATCTCCTATCCTTACTACACTCCACCCACTCCACAGGCAAAAAAAAAAAAAACCAGTGCTCATCTCTTTGCACATCCTTCCCCCACGGTTTCTCTCCACACTCTCAGCTAGGAAACAAATGCGTCCTCAGCAGCTGAACTCCATGTTCCTACCAGGCGTTAAATAAATAGTCTTTTTTTTTTTTCTCTCCCTGTTGGAAGTCACTTGTCATTTTTGTCCCTTGTGAAAAGCATTGATAAGGCAGGCAAACTAGGAAGCAGAATTGGGGGAGATGGAAGATGTTTTTGTAAAACCCAGGCGACCGTATTAGGGAGAGACTGTGCTCACATCAGTGTGGCTGATGATTCACACACATCCCAAGCCCTGTTTTGTTTGTTTTTGAAATGTATCACTCCTCTGTGGCCGATGGAGCTGTGGGATATTCACGTGGACCACAGCGTTCCTACTGCTGTGTCTCTGTCTCACTTAATGTATCACAGGTACTTGTGCACCTCCCAGCCCATGAGATCTTAACTCGTGGGGAAGATGGGATTGTGGGGAGGAAGTAACTGATAAGCTTCCAGATTAAGGTGCCACATCGGGGGCTTCAAGCGGGCACAAAACTGCTTTTTCCAGATTAGCTGATACAGAGATGAAGATTCAGGGATGCGCCCTCTTGTGGCCAATCTTTTCCAAAATTCAGATAAGTGTGAAACCTTAAAGGTTCAGAGGTTCACTGAGGTGTAGTTCACAAGACAGGTCAAAAGAAAGGCAGGGAATGGAGCTCTGGGAGTTTGCTCCATTTTCAGATGGCTTTCTTGGGGTGTAGAGAAACCCTCTTCAGGTGATCTCATGTCTAACTCAGATCTTCTGTACCTGGTGTCTTCCAAGAGGGGAGAGGTATGCTACTTTAGACAACATCTGGGCAGTATTTATTCAGGCATCACTTTTTTTGTTTCTCTATCCTATGTAGCAGGCACTCCAGTAAGATAATTGTGAAAATCAGCAACTAACCATGGCAGACTAATTATGCAGACTCAGTGGTAGGCTGTTACCGTACAACTACTATAACAAAGCAAAAGTAGGTAAGACACAGTGAATCGGCCAAGAAGTCCTCTCTCTGATCTCAATTTCATTGAGAATTTAAGTCATAGTTGGATTGGCTTTACTCAACCACACTGCCGTTCCTTTGAAGAAAAGGGAGTACTGAAAGTTTGGGGCCAGCCAGATGCTAACTTTGGGAAGCACTCTTGGGTGACACCTATAAAAATAAAATCAGTTTTATTTATCGGAACAGATTTCAGAGAGCTTGGGAGTGACTATCTGCTGCTTAGTCAATGCAATCCAAATCAACTCCACAAAGCTGAACTACCTCCTACCTGAACACAGTAGGGCAGATTCAGTTAAAAGCTCAAGGTACTGTCGCCTGGCAGTCTCTTTATTTTTATGTTTTTTTGTCAGCTTTATCGAATAATCTTGAGCGAAGAGGCCAAAGGGGGGGAAACAAAAACATCCAATAACAGGAATCTTGATATTAAAAGGCACATCTATAGTGGGCTTACAGATGACATTCCATGACTGTACTCTATGTTGTACAAATAGTTACAAAAAGAAAAAAAAAACACATGCTCTTTTCTATTCTTGAAATATGTTCATGTACTACATAGAAAAGTAGAACTACTCCAAAAGCAACAAGACAGATCTTTGCCATTCATTTTCATGTATTTTCTCTAATTAATCAGATGATAAATATGTTTCCTACATAGGCAAAATGCTTATATCATACTCTACACTATTTAGAGAATAGATTGTTTATACTATGATCCTTATTTACATCTATGAAATTATAATAAATCAACTTGAAGTCAATGTGTGCTTCTTCTCACATGAGAAGTAAGTAACTGTAACAAACACACCATGTTCCTGGACTAGAAGGAGTTTCCACTTACAAATTTTACACTCAGTGCGTGAGTCCAGTGAATCACCGTTGTAAATAGTAACTCATTTTCTCTCAAACTAAACAACAGAGAGGCAAAAATGACAAGATCCTATTTAACTGAGGGAGTCATTAGCATTGAGAAGGCCATAAGTAAGAAAGAGTGTAAATGGCCTATTCTTTGCCAAATCTCTAACTGCCAAGCGATGAATTTTCTGTAGAAGCCCAGTAAGACAGAGGGTAGGACAGAGTGCTGGCATCCACTATGCAGTTAAACACGGTGGAAGTCATATGTGTAGTCACATGATACAGTTAAAACCAGTTAGTAGAAACTGCAGCTGGGGCCAATATAGGTGAAGGTTGTATAGAAACACATGTGAGGACCAGGACCAATCTTCTACAGCACAGAACCCATCCCATGCACACCAGCCAATGTGATTCTCTTGCACCTTCATTTTATGAAAGCTGAAGAAAATGAAGTGGCAACCTGAAAGGTCCAACCTGTCTTTTTGTTCAGTAAGGTTCAGAAAACAAAGTCACCATAACCAAGGTTTGGGGAACTGTATCAAGAAGGACCTGGTAGGCAAGAACGTAAGGGCATGGACAGAGCTAACCTGCCTAGGAAACTGCTGGGATAGTGAGGCTTCTCCCAAGGAGGAACTCACCAAGGCAGCAGCCTGTGGAATCCCACCCTACCCACCCCCCGAGGATGCCCAGGTCTTGCATGGCTTTCTTGAAAACAGAACATCTGACTCAACAGGTTTTCAGGATTGGAAATTTTGAGTGTTGCCTTAATTGTTTATACTGCTGCAGCAAACTTTTAAACAAAATGCTGGGAGTCCCTGCACATACTTTACTAGCCATATGCTATACCAAACAAAACAATGGCATTCCTTTCAAATGGCTTTGGCAAGGGATCCTATTCCTTAGCCTGGCATTTACCATGAAAGTGAAAAGGTATTATTAACCCATCTGTATGCCAGCTCCCACAGACTTACAGACTTGTAGTAAGATCTGTGTCCTCCTGATGGTATGAACAGCCAGTTCCAAGTCTAGGGCCTTGTCTTTAGACAGGTACTTTCTACACAGCAACAGGTTAGTTTCTGTGTTGCTGAGCCAATGATCAGAATCTATTCAAGTCTTAAGTCTTAAGGTTTGAGTCGTTCATCATAGTGCCTGAGAGCACACTGTCAAGGTTGCATTCCTTGGCAAAAAGTTCTTAGTAACTTTACAAAGAACGAAACTGGGTTGGGGGTGAGGTTCTTTGGCTTTTGATGCTGTTGCTTTTGTTTTTATTTTGTTTTTATTCCGAAAGCAACGCTATTCCGAAAGTAATCTCTAATTCAATGCTAACTGCCCTGGGAGTTGCTCTTTTCTGTCTTGGGTGGATTGTGCACAGAGGCAGGCTTTCCAGAGGTGAAAATGATTGTCACTAATAAATATGCCCCGAGACTGGCTCCAATGTGGCCCCAGATCAGACATTTAAAGGAGATTTGTTTTCAGACAGTGGCTTCATCCGTGCCTTTGCACCCGGCCCCCAGGCACTCTCACTCCTACCCCAGAAAAACTTTGGATGGGGTCCAGATGCTGCCTCTGCACCCCCAAACCCCCAAGTGCCCTGCTTTCATCTGGCTGCTCAGATCTGGTTTCCTAGGCAGGGCAGCTAGGGAGCTCCATGCAGACTGCCTTCCAGCTTCAGACTGGCCCAAGAGCTTCCTCTCTGGGTAACCGCTGAATTTATTTAGCAAGTGTAAGCTAGCCATCGCGGGGCAGGGCTCCCTGGCAAAGAAGTCCTCTCCCCCTCCTCTGCCTCTCCGGCGCCACCATCACCTAATAACTAATAACCTTCCCGGCGGTCGCTAGCGGGAGGGGAAGAAGTTCCTGCTAGGACTGTCAACGAGAAATACATTTCCCTGCCCCCGCCCCCACCCCCAACGCCAGCACCCACCTGACTCGGCAAAGGTGATGATCTCCGAGGTCTGCTCCATGAGTTCATTCATTTCGGCCCTCCTGCCAATGTCGTCCTCTATCTCCACATACCCGTTCTCCCCCACTTTGCCCACATGAAGCTTTCTGATCGCGTTGAGAAGCGCCGCCTTGGGCACCGGCTGGGTGACATCGGGTCTCTTCTTCAAGTGCAGCATGTTTAGGATGTGTTTCTTGACAGCCTCTACCATCTCTGGCTGAGAGTTAGGTCCATCCTTCGGAAGGGTGGCCAGCGCACAGGACGGGCAGTCCGGGGCTGCGCCGTGCCCCTCGGGTCCTGGGGTGGGGGAACTCCTCACTATAATCCAGCAACTTGCCAACAGAAATCCTCTCAGCCAAAGCAAGGGCATCCTGGCAGCAAAAGTCGTAAGGTTGCCTTCTTTAAAGGCCCTGCTTTTTCTCCCACCCTCACGCACAGGGTTGTTATTTTTTTTTTTTTGACTTTTTTTTTTTCCTTCTCCTCTTCAGCAAATTCTCTGGAACAAGAGCAAAAAGTTTTCTGTGAAGTTTTGTTTGCAGGTTCCCTCTCTGAATGCAGTCAGTGCTGTAGGTTTGTGGCTGTCAGGGAGGAGAGTTCTGACTGTCTCCGAGTAAAAGAGAAGGAAGGAGGGAGGGAGAGAGGGAGGGAGAGAGGGAGGGAGGAAGGAAGAGACAGGGTGGGGGGGAGACAGAGACTGAGAGAGGATGGGAGGGAGAGAGACAGGGAGAAAGGAGAGAGAAGCTCCGTGGAG